TGCTTTAACACCTCCCCCTGTCTTCCTTCCGGCACCTGTCCACCAGCACCTCCACATTCATTTTCTTACACCTCGTCTGCATCCATATTCATAGAAGCCACACTCAAGTCTAAAGTGCCTGTCAGAACCTCTCAGTAATTACACACAGTGGCTGCAGAACCAGGCGGCTGCACACTTCACAAGCCTCAAGTGTCCCCGCTGTGACACCTGTTACACAAAAGCTGAAATCTGTGGGCGGCCATATGCAAATAAATGATCACCTCAGCATCATCGATAACTCTGTAGTGTTTCTCAAGAATCTGAAATTACACATGAACGTTTCTGCCGGCGCTCTTCAACTTTGCCCAGTCCATTAACCCTGTGTTAGATTTTAATACCTGTAATAATGGTACAGGTGGTGACAGCTGTAGCCTTGAAGCTCTAAAGCATGTTTTGTTTTTTGTTTTTTATAAAACTACAAATTAAAACTCAGATGACAAGAATAATTTAAAAAAAAATCTAAACGGGTAAGAGAATGTTTCTATGTGGATTTACTCGCTTTTGTGACGAGCCCCAAGTGGTCATTAGAGGAACAGCATCTGTCAGTCAGAGGAGCCATAACTTCTAGCCCAGTGGTTCTTAACCTTGTTGGAGATACTGAACCCCACCAGTTTCATATGGGAATTTACTGAACCCCTCTTTAGTGAAAAATAAAATTTGATTTTTTTCAAATTCAAGACATAGATATGTTTTTTATTGGTGCACAAAATGAGCCATGCATGTGACGGCGGAGGCTCTGCTGAACCCCTAAAATCCGACTCACCGAACCCCTAGGGTTCGATCGAACCCAGGTTAAGAACCACTGTTCTAGCCTTACCAGTATAACTCAAGGAAGAGTGGCCACTATCCACAGAGGCCAAAATAGTTGTTTGTTTGTTTTAATACCCGCAAGTTCATCTCTGTTTTAAAGTTGTACATTTTAACATACAAGTCTGTGGGGATTGACTCCGTTTTGAAGCCAGGCTCAGGTGGCCCTTACAGGAACTGCACTTTTTGGAAATTGATTTCATTTTTCTGCCCCGGATGTTTCCACTTGGTGACATCTGTTATCACCTCTCTATGAAACCCTGCAGGTTGTTTGAACAGTTTAGTTTTTATAAAATTCATAGATTAATAAATAGAACTGACTGGATATGTCCACGTACAGAGATCTGTCTCCTTTATATTGAGCACACGTTTATGTAATGAGCATTCGTCAGTTCCTTGGAAACAACCAGCTGATCCAGTTTAATTGATCAGTTTTCCTGTGGGTCCGAAGAGTTTTTGTTTTTTTAAAGCATCTTGCTGAACTTGATTTCAGACTGTGATGTTGTTCCCATTTCTATATTAATATTAAAAGTTTGACAGCTGACAAATGTCATTTGACTTCAGTTCTGTCCTTTATAGATCTTATTTGTTTACAAAGTCAAATCTTTTGTAGCCTCATAGCACAGTTGACAGAGTTGGACTTAAATCTGGGAAAAATGCTTATTATTTGGCGACACTCAGCACTTGTTTTGTAATGGATGTCACCAGGAGTGAGGTTTCATTTCCAATTCATCAGTGAGATATTACTGCTCGGGACTCCGGGGAGGCAGCTCATCTCTCGTCACTGTGTAGGTGTGAAGTGTCGCTGGCTGAAGTGTCCGTGGTGTAACACCCGGACGGTGTCATTCCAGTCCCATCAGCTAGCTGCTAATAGGAAAGAAGCTGGGCCAATGAAATGGCTTCTCTCACTTCCTGCTTGTGGAGTCATGAGGTCTCTGTTTCATTACTAACATGTGCATCTCTCCTCTTTAAGTGCTGGACTGGAGGATGACCGATCCAAACCATCCCATGAATGCTCTGATGCGTCTGAACCAGATCCACCCGGGCCTTCAGTACCGCCTGCTGTCCCAATCCGGCCCAGTGCACGCTCCAGTCTTCACCATGTCTGTGGAAATCCAGGGAACCACATACCAGGCCACAGGGAACTCCAAGAGAACCGCCAAGCTCCAAGTAGCTCTCAAGGTACCAACACAGTTCAAAGAGCTGCATAAAAGTCACAGAAGTCTGGGGGTTGTATTTTAATGAACCTTAGATGGGTTGTCTGATAGTCATCGGTTAGCAAATGTCTTCTTTGGGACATGTAAACACCTCAAAATCCAGAGTATGACTTGTGCTTAATGTTTGAAAGCGTCAGATTGAGACAAACTAAAATGATGAACATCACTACCATTTAATTCTGCTCAGGGTCACGATGGGCTAGAGCCTATTCCTTTAGATACTGGGTTAACTGGGTTATAGATAGATAGACTGATTGATTTATGGGGACTTGGATTCCACAGCGTTAGCTCCATAAACACTTAGACACAGACGAGCAGATACAGAAAGATTAAAAAACAAAACAAACAGGAAACATCACTCAAAGATTTGAACTGTCCTGCAGTTCTTTTAGGCTCTAATTTCAAATTCTAATAGACATATAAGAGTTTTCAAACTGCTAAAAACTGTTTTATAATAATAAGAAGAAGAAGAAGAAGAAGAATGGGGCGGCACGGTGGTTAGCACTGTTGCCGCACAGCAAGAAGGTCCTGAGTTCAATTCCAACATCAGGTCTTTCTGTGTGGAGTTTGCATGTTCTCCCCGTGTTTGCGTGGGTTCTCTCCGGGTACTCCGGCTTCCTCCCACCGTCCAAAGACATGCAGCTTGTGGGGATAGGTTAATTGGATAATCCAAATTGTCACTAGGTGTGAATGTGAGTGTGAATGGTTGTCTGTCCCTGTGTGTTGGCCCTGCGACAGACTGGCGACCTGTCCAGGGTGTATCCTGACCCTCTCGCCCTATGACAGCTGGGATAGGCTCCAGCGACCCTGAAAAGGATAAGCGGAAGCGAATGGATAATAATTATAATGGATTGGATTTATATAGCGCTTTCCAAAGCACTTTACAATTCCATTATTCATTCACTCTCACATTCACACACTGGTGTAGGCAGCTGCAGTGGTAGCCACAGCTGCCCATATCGTGCCATCGGCCCCTCTGGCCAACACCAGTAGGCGGTAGGGTAAAGTGTCTTGCCCAAGGACACAACGACCAGGACAGAGAGCCCGGGGATTGAACCGGTGACCTTCCGGTTACAGATGCGCTTTCCAACCTCCTGCGCCACAGTGCCCCCGTTTTAGTCTTCTAAGACTAAAAGGAACAAGAGAAATCATGAGAACAAAGGAAATCCGGTTTGTCATTAGTTGCAGAAACTCCACTAAAAGCAAAAGACATAAAAAATAAAGAAAACGCAGAATAGGTTCACTTTAATATCAGCACAAGTATCAAGTTGCTTTCTCTACTTTTAAAATTATGACATCTGTAAGTGAAGCAAGTAAAGAGGGGTTCAGAGGGTTAACAACACCACTTTAGCTTCCAGTCCTGTGTCTGCCTGTTAGTTTGGTTTGTCAATAATTTTGTACTCGGGTGTTTAAAAGCTGAACATTAAGTTGGACAAAGAAACAGCAGCTGAAGTTTTCTTCTAAATCGATACGAGAACACACAATGTTCTTTTTGCGACAAATCTTTTATTGAACTAGAAGTTTGACTGCTCACACTTAGTCTTTTTCACACATATTTATTCATTCAGTTGCACTTTCACACTCTCAGCACAGCCAGTCTTTCTGTTCTTGTTGTTCGCTTTGCAGCCTCACTGCAGCAGCTGGGGTTTGAGTGCCTTGCTCAAGGACAGCTCAGTGACAAATGATGGATGTGAAAGCGTGACTCATCTCCCATTTGCGGCTGTCAGGATGTCACAAAAAGTTTATCCGCTACTTTTGTAATCCGATGACTGTCGTGTTGAATGCAGCAGGAAGTCGTGCGGTGATGAAATTTAAACGAACGTCCTCTGGCTGTTTTTGTTTTCGCTGCTGTCGTCCTCAGGCGCTGCAGGCTTTGGGCTACGTGCTCGGCAGCGATGGAGACGTGGACTCGCTGAGTGCCGACGAGAAGTCAGATGGCGAAGGGAAGAACGACAGGATGTCCACCAGCTCCAGCTCCACCTCCATCACCTCCTCCACAGACACACAGGAGGTGAGGAACACACACACAGAGACAGACTGTGGCCTTTTGTGAAAGGTTCTTCCTGAGTACAACACTTCCATGAGGTTCATTAGAGATTCAACACAATAAAAATTCTTCTGCAGCTTTTGGGTTGTCCTGATTACGAAGGCTGGAAACCTTGGATTTAAACATGTTCTGTGCAACTTTCTTTTCATGTATTACTAGTTTTTTTTTTCTTCCTGTCATTATGTGAACAAAAATGTAACCTTCCCCGACTCTGTTGCCTCTGAGAGCCTGAAGACTGATTTCTATGTGAAGGTCAAATTTTCTAAAAATCCAAAAGGCCGTCATGTTTCTACTCACTCCCGGATACCTCAATGCCTCTCTTAAAATCACCACCAAAATTAATTTCTGTTTTATTCATATGGCACCAATTCACAGCAGCAATCACCTCAAGATGCTTTCATCATAAAGTAAACCTCCGACAATTTTAGAAAGAGGATTACCTATATGGGGCAATTGGTGACTGGGGGAAAGAAAAACTCCCTTTTAACAGGAAGAGACCTCCAGCAGAGTGTGGGGAGAGTTTTGGTTTCACAACCACACTTAACCCTATAAAGCCGGTCGGAGCAGGCGCGCTCCGTTTTGCGTAACTATTTTTAAATACCGGTAGAACTGCAACCACGTAAGCTAGCGCAATAATTTTTTTTGCATATGAAACCGGAGGAGTTGTACTTGCATCTTATGCCATCAGCTTGTCCTCAGTCACAGTTTCCTTCCACATATAGCTTTGCAAAAACTGCATAAAAAGCGCTTGCAGCAACAAAAACATAATATTCCAGAAACACGCTTTGCCGATCCGATCAGCTGTTTGTAACACTTCCTACGTCCATCAGCGCAAACTATCGCATGTCCGCCATGACCTGCCCGAAACCGGAAGTGACGTCATTTTGCGGAAATGTAGTTTTTTATCATCAGAGCCTCATGAGCCTATACTGGTGTTTTTAAAAGTTATGTTTGACTTTATGACTTTCTGTGTCGTTTCTGGGATGCTTAGGACTCATATTGCACTGCTGGAAATAGTTTATTTTGATGCATATGCTGCTTTTTTGCAAATTTGCAGTATAATATTTATTTTCGTTTTTCCTGCAGTGTATAAAAATTGGTGTATTTCAAAAATAAAACTATGAAGACACTCAAAATAAATTTCCTGTGGTGGGAAACTATTTTGTGCAACTTCTTTGTATTTACAGTTTTGAGGGATAAGCCTCTTAAATTTCTCTAATTAGAAATATATGTTAAAAAAACAAAAACGATTTTCAATTTTTTTGTAGTTTATTGCACTTTTTTGCAATTTATGTAATTACTATGCACTTAATGCAGACATATTATTACAATTTAGGCTGTAATGGTTGTATTGATGTATATCAACTTGAAATGCTCCCAAAAATGGCTCCACAGCATGTAAAAATATAATATAAGCTCTGGCGGACTTGGTTCTATGATAGGTCTTAAAGGGTTAACTAATGTTAGGGATTACCCTGAGGTCAGCAGATCAATAACATGAGCAGCGTGAAAGCAAGTTTTGCTTAATCATCTTATTAGTTCTTATATCTGTAGCTCCGTTTGTCCCCTGCAGTCCATTGGTTGTTGAGGTTGTGTCTCCTTTTTACTTGTAAATATGTGTGTGTGTGTGTGTGTGTGTGTGTGTGTGTGTGTGTGTACAGTAGGTTTACATACTTGCACACTCAATGAGAGTGAGACAGTCAGAGCCGCCCCCTCGCTCGTCACGTCCGGCGTCAAACCACTGACAATGGCGATGGAGAAGACACTCAACTTGGGACTTCAAAAACGTTTGGCGACCTCACAATGGTTATGCCCATGTTTTATAAAGAGCAGACGACCTTGCTTGTAGGTGTTGTGTGTGAAATATTAATCTCGATAGGTTTACAATCATTTTTTAAAAATGACAGATACAGCCATTTAAAATTGCTGCTCTCGGTCAGAGCTCAGCCGTCAGCTGCTGGGAGTCTGGCGCCATATAAATAAAAGTTAATTGAATTTCATTCTTTTGATAGATTTCATTGTAAACCTCCTCACTCATTAAAATATAAAAACTCAAAGTTGTAAATAAAAGTTTACAGTCAGTTTGACCATTCAGACATGTTATACTGCAAATCACGAAACTATTTCCAGTAAGCATTTCTTCATTCATCCATTTCAGTCCAATCTAATAACATTAAAAAATAGATACAATTTAAAAGAAAATGAAATACAGTAAAATAATATTCTTACACGCAAGTTTCCTCATAGATCCCAAACCAGATGTGGAGGTTATTTCTGAGACTGGTACAACCTGATTTTTCATTTAGCCAATGGTTTGTTGGGTTGTTAGTTCTTCAGACCATGAAGAAGCATGAGCTTCATTTTATTCTGTTAGGTTGCAACTTGATATTTTGATTTATTCTTTAGATTTCTTTGAACTCTTCTTTAAAGTATTGAGCCAGACTTTCAACTAGTTTTTCTTTTTTTAAGTGCTCTCCAAGTTACATCAAGATGTTTCAAAGTTGTTATTTGGAAAAAAAATTTTTAAATCATTTTCAGTCGTGTCCTCAGAACGTTTTTTCAAGCTCTGTTTTAACATCATATAAATTAAAGTCTGTTAGACCAGTGTTAACTTGATAGATGTGCATGGGTGTGTGACTATCAGTGGGCTGCGTTTTATGTGGGCTGGGACAATGTCTTTGAAAATGTGAGCAAAAACACAGAGAACCTCATAATATAGGCTGCATACCAAAAATTATTACTATGTGAATTCCATAAATTTTAACAAATTAAATTATTAAAGTGTTTATTTTTATTCGTGGTCAGGGTTCAGACGGGCCCTGGGGTTTCCTGTAAATTTTGTGTGGTTTATTCCCTACATTCAGGTTGAGGGGTCATATGATGATGATGATGCTTTGATTGAACAATCCCAAGAACCAATATAGAAAAAATATAATTTTAAAAAAGGTATCAGCTCTCAATAATCAGAATTGCATAGTTAAAAAAAAAAAAAGGTAGCCTGGTGGGGCTGAGAGCACCGTCTGCATAGTTCATTAAGACCAGGTTGAACGCTAATGACTGTTTTGGCCTACCTGTCAGCACAGAGTTTGTGCACTTATAACTGTCTAACCATCTAACTAACTAACTAAATAAATACATAAATACTGCGGGCTGGACACTTATTTGTGGGACATACGCCCATTGTTGCATTTGTTGCGTCTCTTTCACAGCACAACTCCCACTAGGGCTTAAATACCTGGGACTCTCCACCAACTGCTCTGAGAAGTGAAGAAACTTCTTGGATGAGAGAGTGAAACATCTTCAAGAAACTTAAAGAAGTCCAGTCGCTTTTCTTTCTAAGCTCCTTGGATACTTTAATACCTTATTTATCTCAAAAGTTGGGAAATGATTTTGTTACAGAGTCTTTTAACAAAATAGGTTAAGTAGATCAGAATACATTATGACAGGGGCCAAATATCTCACTGCATAAAGAAAACAGAAAAGAAGCAGCTTAGTAAAGATGAAAAACAAAAAGACTACATTTTCTAATTGGCTGTAATAGGCATTTGTATCTGTAAGCTGTGCAGCAAAGACTGAATATCAGCAGCTTGTTCTTTCTCACTCTTCCAGCATGTAGGAGGTATACCTGATGTGAACAGGCTGCTTAGATAGCTTGTCTTACTTGGAGGACACATGAGCTCTTGAGCACATTCGGGGGGATAAACCGGATGTAAAGCCTGCAGCTGATTCTCTCTCTCTGCATGCGTCTGCAGTCTAGAGCTCCTGGACCGATCCTGACGGCGGGAGGTAAGAACCCGGTGATGGAGCTGAATGAGAAACGCCGCGGCCTCAAATACGAGCTGATATCGGAGAGCGGCAGCAGCTACGACAAACGCTTCATCATAGAGGTAGGAAAACAAACACTCCTCCACTCACTGCTCCGCTCTGTCTCCGATGTCTTCTCTTATTAGGAGCAGATGATCGACAGAATGCGTTTTATGTTCAGAGCTTCCTGTATATGAAAACAGCTTTAAATGCCAGCAAACGCAGCTGAACATGAAACTAGTTTAGTCCCTGTAAAATCGCTGCTGTAGTTTGTTTTCTGCTTGCTTTTTATATATGTTGTTGCAGTGCTTTATGCAAGAAGCTCTGTGTTTCTTTATGTGGCGATGATTTCCTTTGGCATTAACAACAAAAGAGCTGCATATGTAGATGTCTTATTAAGAAACAAAGGTGCTCCAGAGAAGATGTTAATGACAGGTGTGGGACTGAATTAGTCACATAACAGTTACTTTAATTTCCAGTTTCTCCCTTGTCGATTAAGTCATTATTAAAACAAAAGAAGAGCTTTTTCAAAGTGGTGCTGCAGGAAAAGAAGGTTGTTTTTGACTTTTTATAGATTAAGCTGGTTGGCATAATCTATAATAGCGTGGCATAATTTATTCGATTTATTGTACCATTGATAATGAAAATCTGTATGATTCTATTATATGTAAATATAAAAGAAAAATGTAAATTTAATATGTAAATTTGTTTTTAAAATGTTAAGAAAATTCATTTATCTTAAAAAACAGGGCCTCAACTGCTATTACAGTCTACAGACATCAGGCTTAATCATGCTAACATGCTTTAAAAGGGGATTTAAGGAAGCAGGAGTTAATTGTTTTAAATAAAATTCTAATATTGCAATTTAAAAGTTGGATAAACAGTTTACTGCACCGTATGTTTGCTAGCAAAAAAATAAAGAAATGCAAATTCAATGAGAATCAGTTATTTTTAATCTAAGTACTGCAGCTGTACTGAAGCCATGTTGTGTTTGTGCAGAATGTGTTTTAAATTTTTACATGATGGGAATCAAGGAAGCCCGCTCAAATTGAAGCATTTTGTGTTTCTTCTTTCTTTCGAACATAAACTTTTTCTCTAACCATCAGGGAACAGCGTTTTGTTCTTATTAATAAAGTTATTGTTGAGTCGATCTTGTACACAAATCCAAGTGGTTTTTTTTGTTCTTCTTTGTCGTCTTGAAGACTTCAGTCTTTAGCAGGAGGAACCCTGTTAATATGAGCTCTCATCTGTGTGTGCGATAACAGGTTGAGGTAGACAAGCAGGTTTTTCGGGGAACGGGTCCCAACAAGAAAGTAGCCAAAGCCAGCGCTGCGCTCGCCGCTCTGAACAGCCTTTTCTCCGGCTCTAAATCTACGACCAACAAGAAGAAACGGCCAAACCCTCCAGTGAGTAAAACATTAAGGTTCTCAGAATGACTTTCAAATTAACGTCCTGCATTGTGTTTGTGTGTGAATTGGTGTCAATGCCACGCTTCACAGAGAATTAAAGGTATAAATAGAGTTGAAATAACAGGAAACTGCCCACACTGGAAACCAGATATTGACAGATGAGACAAATCAGAGAGTTTTAAACTTAAATCAGTCTTTTTCCTTTTAGCAGTTAGATCAGGATATGAGTAAAATGTTGATAAATTCCCAGTGAAAGAAAACATGTATTGTTCTTACTGTGGTCTATTCTTTGTGCAGCCAAAGCGACCCGTGGCTTCAGTCCTCACCCTCCCAGCCCTCGCTGCCAGACCTCCACGGGTCCCCATTATCCCCAGAGCTCCCTACATCAGCACCCCACCCGCACATGGATACATCCCACCAGGTGAGTCACGCAGCAGTCACATCATTGTTTAACATGTCCGTTACATATACCAAGGGAAAAATTAATAAATCAACACTCCTTCATTTGACTGACTGTTATTAAGCTGTACACACCTGCGTTATACTGAATGATCTTTAATTCAGTGCTCAGGATTTACACCAGAGTGTAAAGTGTTTTAATTAGCTTCCTCTTGCTGTTAGCCTTCTGTATAAGAATCTGGAAATAAAATCAGTCCCCTACAAAACTCTTTGAGCATCCAAAACAAACAACCTTTATTTGCCACATAAACAGTTATACAGGGTACAACATGTAGTGAAATTCTTGCGTCCGAGCTGCAGACATAGCCGCGCCATTCCAGGGCTTGATTTTAAGCACGGGGGGTCTAGCCAGGACCCTTACTGGATACAAGTTCAATACCGGGTGGGAATTGAACTTGTGACTCCTGCTCTAAAGGTGTGTAGTCTTACCACTACACTATCCAGCGTCCAGGTCCAAGAAAATGGAGCAGATTAGCACCAAATATTTACCCAGAATAAATTCGAAGGACCTATCTCAAGTAGTTTTCTTGATAATGGAATTTTAAAATGACCTGTCAAGAAATTGCTGCTAAAAACACTTAACAACACCTCACCCTGATTTATTTATTAGAGAAAACTAATGACAGCCTGGACCCAAAATTCTGTATAATTCCTATTAAGACATATCTTTCCCAAGATTTCTTTCAGGCAAATTCATCATGGTCTGGTAGGATTCTTTTTTTTATTTGATGAACTGACATGAGCGTTGTGTCCACCAATTACAGTAGATTAGATCTTTTTTTTCCCATTTGAGAGTAACTTTAGCCATAATTCAGTGCTCTCTCACTGGTAAATACACACTCGTGTTCCATCTGCGCCTCACAATTAAAGCTGTAGCAGATTGATAGTGCTACATTAATTGAGTGCAACATTGAATTGCCCCCCAGTGCTGTACAAAGCTGCTCAGATTAAAGTTTCTGGCGAGGTTCATAATAAAATGGCAGCTGAGCAGACAATCTACAAGGGAAAAAGGGCTGGAAGCACAACAGTTTTCAATATGATTCAACATAGATGTAGGTGAAAACTCTTGCTGAGATGATGATAGATTACAAAAGCTGAGGGTGATACAGGTGTGTATATATACGTGCTATTTAATGATAACATTTGATTTATTTTATCCCCCCGCAGGTTTTGGTGCTCCTTATGGTTACAGCCCTGCAGGCGCCCTCCCTGCTTACGGTAATTTCCCAGTTTCACTTTCGATCCTTAATCCATCCATTTAATCTATTCCATCACCCCAACATTTGAGTTTCTTTTTCTTTCTTTCACTCTTCCTCAGGTTTTCCCTCCAGAATGCCCTCAGTAGTTGTCCCAGTCATCAGAGTTCCCACAGCATACCCCGTCACCCACCTCTACCCCTATTAGGACTCTCCCTCACCCACTTCACAGGAAGTCACTTGTTAAAGGAATATCCTGACTTTGGCTGTGTATTCACGACACAAACCCAACCCTGCAGTCTACAAACCTTTAAGCATCAAATCAGGCAGTGGGATTTTTGTACAGCATTCATCCTCTGGGCTAAAACAGTTTCACAGTCATGTCATTACTATCCATGTGAACACAGAGTTTGACAAAAAAGCTCCTTATCATTAAATCATTACGCAATCAAAAGTTCAGCGTTTAATGAGCAGTGTATGGAAGACTGGAGAGGTAAATATGACAAATTAAACAGCCCTGCATGTCCTGCTGGGTAATACATCCAGCAGAGAACACAGTAATACAGTGTAGTTTGTTTTTCTTAAAACGTACTAAACAAAAATATATTATCCACTTAAATGTCATTAGTATTATGAGGCGCAATAAACAATAATTAATGACCATGGTTGAGTTTCCTATTGTGGGAATTTCTGTATAGGACGACTACATGATTATCGGTGAGAGTTTATGCAGTGGGGAAAAAAGCAACTGGTTCTAATACATCATCCTACAGTGTTCCTAAATTATTTTAATGATCCAAACATTCCCTGTAGGATTAAATTAACAGGATAAGTGATATATTTAGAGGCTCTTATTTTGTTCCCCTCGATCTAAAATGTACTGCAGATGGCTACTGCAGAGAATTAAATATGACATGAGCATTACAAGGAGCTGAAGTGAGACTACTGAAAATACGATGCAGTAAATATGTAAATAAAAACATTAAATGTTTAGAAGGGATCTAAAAATACATTTAACTAAGTATTAAGTATCTACAAAACTAATGTAATATACTAGCAGGTAGGTTACTTAAAACTAAATACATAAATTCAGGTTTTTAGGGAACTAAATTAGCAACAACTACACACGGATGATGAAATGGCTCACTAAAACAACTAGAACAAACAGATGACAAAGTATACGATGGAAATATTCAATAAAACGTCATCTCTAGTTAAATTATTTATTTATTTATTTAATTTCCCTAAAGTGTCCCAAAGCTTACCATATTCTATTTGAATTAATAGATTTAAAAACAAATGTTTAACTACTCGAGGGAACTAAATTAAGACCAGGTATAAAGTGACTACAAAGTAGCAAACTAAAATTGCTGAATTTTTTTTTGATTTTTTTTATATATATTTTGAAAAAAAGAGAGTAACAAATATTCAATGTGGAAACTAAAGAACTAAAAATAAATCTGGAGGGAACCAAAGACCTTTCAAATCTAAGTAACTACTAAATACCAACAATATGGAGCTACACCGTTATTGTAAAGAACCAAAAGAGCTACCACCACACTAAACATACAATAATTCAGCGTCCATGATAGAGGAAAAAAAAAAATCAGTCGTTGTAGGGAAATGAATAATTATAAACATACTTTGTTAAATTAAAGCATGTCCTGGAGGTGAAAGTGATCAGAGCTTCTTTGTCAAAAGGCTATGTATTCCTTTAACAATCATTCATATATGTGAATGTTGTTTTGTATTTTCATTTCTCTCTGTTTTCTGCAGATGTTTTGTTTCTGTTAGAGAGAAAAAAAAGACAGGTTTACAATATTCGGTTGCACTGAGAAATATTTTCCTTTCGTTTGGATATCGAGTGTCCGAGTTTACACTTACTGTTGAGTATGAGCCATTTTGTGTTGAGTTCAAATAATTTCTTCTCAGAGAGCTGTTTTATGTTTGTAGGTAATATTCTTTTTAAATAAATTAATATTTTTGTCAACAACTGATTAACTTGTGGTCCCCAGTTTGTTGCATGTCAAATCTCTAATTAGTATATTGTATTAGTCACACTAATTACTCTGTTACAGGACAGGCTTTCTTGCCAAATATGTGAAACGTTTAGTTTTTCCCATGCCGATGGATATTCATCCCATTAACCAATGTATGGTATTGCTACAAAGCCCCTGGACACCACAACCGACAGACGAACTGGAGGGTGCTGACAGTCTGTGGGTGATACTGGTCACAGAGAGGTTTACAGTGCTGCATCAGATCCCGTCTTTATTGAAGCAACGTCTTTGTGATCAGTCTCACCTAGCGGCAGTCAACAACCACCCAGTTTCTAGCAACTAGTGGCAGGGTCGACCCCAACTGCTACTGGGATCGTATATGTCAAAACGTGAGTAAGAAATAATTGTAAAGTATTGAACATCCACAGTCAGGCAAATATAACCTGAAGAAACTGTCCTGACTTGGGTAATAGAAATGCAAAACATACTCACCTATTCCACCTCATGTGTCCACTAAGAAACCCTTAAACATGACCTCAAGTTTATTATAATTGTTACATCCAATTTTCATAGCTCTGGCTTTTGTTAGCATCAGATTTTAAACTTTCAAGGCCAAACACTTTTTAAAATAAAATCTCTGAATTTTTTGATGTACCAACAGATTTTTTTAAAATATGAAATCTGTCTATTTATCAACTCAAAACCTTCTCATAATTTGAAGATAAAGTCCACCCGGTGCCTTCAAAAAAGAAGCCTTATTATCTTTGACATTAACAAATTTGTCATTGGCTAATTGAAGAATCTCAAGATAATTATTCATTATTTAAGGCTTTGTGTCAGAGGCGTGAAGGTTTTAGTCCTTGCAGTACATACAGAACAGTTGTTAAGTTAATGAACTCTTAATACAGCGTTAGCTTTAATACCTGTTATCCTGCTCTAATGTGCACAGGTCTTAAAAATAATTAAATTCGATGTCTAAACAATGCTAGTAAAGCCATGTCTGCAGTAATCTCTAATGCTCTTTCTGCCTGACTTTACATCGTGGTCACCAAGTGCAAGGTTTTAATAGGTTTCTCTGTTTCCCTGTTTAAAGGGCTTGCATCCATCATGCATGCATTGAATCTACTTAATTCTTCTGGCCTTTAACAATCCCAAGAGCCAATAAAGCTTCCTCTAAAAACAGCAGCACCCTGAATGTTAGGGATCCGTGTCCTGCTCTGCTCATGTTACAGGTTAAATTGATGACACTGGGTGTTTTGTTTGTTTGTTTGTTTGTTTTTGTTAAACTGACTGCAGAGAGAAGAAAATATCTTAAAGGTGGAGTTTTAATGAACTGCATTAACACCATTTAAAAACCAAAACTGTTGCACTCTATGAGTTTTGATCCCCTCGGGCTTGTTCCAGTAAGTGAGTTTAGTTTGATAAACTTGTGATGAAGGAAACTCTGGGTTTTCTGCTCATGAAGGAGAGTTTTTCTACAAAAAAGGAGAGTTGTTTCTACAACAAACTCCCCGAGGGCTCCACCGTGAACCAGGCTGAAGCAACTGTCTCACATTCATTTCCTCACTCATACAGTTGATCTCCAAGCCCGTATCCTTGATCAACTACAGTATAGAGAAAAGTGCAGTTAGGTTCACTGCTTACACTGAATCAGGAAGAAAACCTTATCGCCACCTACAACATATTAAGACTTTTATTCATACTTTGACTTTACTAGCATAAAGTAAAACCCTGCATTATTCACAGGTCTAAATAAGCTTCATTTCTCTTATACTATGCCTCAGTGCAGCTCCCCAATTTATCCTCTGTGTTAATGAGCAGTTCGACTGTTTAACACATCAATGATACAAATTAAAGTCGACTAAAACACAACATTTCCGAATTTTGTGCTGCCTCTGTTTTCTGTGCTGAAAGCGTCTCTCTTGCGACTTCCTGTTTGGAAACTCGTTAAACTCTGGTCAACCAAGACGACCTCTTACGTTCTAATTTAAAAATACTGCTGAATAAGCTTCCTGTTTTGATGGTCCCCTCTTCATGACCATCATGCTACAGCTTCCTGTGTCTCCACACAAATCTGCAGAATCAGACTGTAACATATGTTTATAAAACATGGGGGTAACTTCAACGTCTAAAAAATGAAACTAGCCTGGAAGTGCCTGTATTTCTTTTAATGGCCAGCAGGGGGCGACTGCTCTGGCTGCAAAAAAAAAGAGGCAACTCTCTTGTTTTGTGAGAAAGTACATTACTACAGTTGTGAAGGAGGATTATCCTAGGTATGCTCATTGGCTAACTAGCTACACTAAGATGAAAATGGTAAAAACACTCTGCTCGAGGCGTCATAGAGACCTCATTAACCATTGGGTGACATCCTAGTAGCTGTGTTCATCTTTTTTACCGCCTAAGGGCAGGAACAGCTCGACTAGAAAAATGGTGATCCACAAAGTTCAAATCTCTATGATTAACAAGCTCCAGCTTTTGCTGACAGAGGGTGGACCATAACCCTTGACATGACAGATTCAGTGGCTGGTAGGCGAGCTAGCTTTCAGAGACAGTAACCAACTGTGGCCACAAGATGGCAGTAATTTTCAGATTGGATATAGGCTGATATCCGCTTAAGAACAGCAGCTTTTGGTATGGACTTATGCTCAGTGGATTTATGTTTATCTACTCTCAGAAAAAAAGCCTTCCATTAGCTGATAATGATTATTTCCTAATCATGTTAACCCTGCCTGTCTCCTCTCTGCAGGCGGCCTGTACATCGACAGTGCCTATTACCAGCCGCAGACCATAGCCACACCTATAATCATCCACCTGGGCCCTCAGGATCTTTTCTGACCCTTCCAGTCCACAGAGGAAAGACACAGCAACAAACTCCAACCTCCCGTTGAATCCCTCACCCTTATTAAACACTGTCAGCGCCCCTGGATTACAGCGGTACAGCTCTCCCGGGCTTCTCCTTCGACAGCAGCAATATTGAAAGCAATATAGGAGAAGGAAACACCCCGGGCAACGCTGTAACAGGTCCAGGTTGCAGGTCTGGTTTTTGGGGAACAGGAGACCACGGTCGAGACTCACTTTTTTCTGTCTCAGAAAATGTCAATAAAACACGAAGCAATACCCCTGCTGCCTTCGGGAATCTCAGCGTGTCCCAAAGCAGCTCGACTCGAAGCGCTATTTCCAGTCCAGCTGCTGAACTCAAACAGGCCATCAGCACATTCACAACAGTGTGACCTACTGTAAATATGACATTTACTATCTGTACATATGGATGTGTGTGTTTTAAATATATATATATAAATATATATAAACATGTTAATAGATTTGAATATGTAAAACCCAACATTTATAATCTATCTGAATGTAAATACACTAGTGACTGAAGTAGGTTTGTATTTAAAGCACTCTCAGATATGATATCTATAAATATTGAAACTTACATTTTACAAATTGTCTATAACGCTGTATTGCTATGTTGATTCTATATAATCCCAAATTTAACATTATTGCATATAGTAGATTAAGTAGTAATTTTCCAATCTGATTGTCTTCATGTTTTCCATCTCTGCTGGTATGGTTCAATCAGTGGTTCCCAATATACGGGAAAAGGACCCATAAGAGGTCACATGGCAAGTTTAAAGAAGTTTTTATTCTAAATCAACATTATTAAATCCTTAAACTGGATTAAATTTAATTCACATAGCGTCTATTCACAACAACAGTGGCTTATACTTTGTATAATATTAGAGATAAAACAGCAACAAACAGATAATCGACTATGAGAAACACTTGGAAACAGTGGGAAGGAAGAACTCCCTTTTGTATACCATCTACATCTATCTATATACGTACCATCTGCATTCATTCAAATATAACCCCAAGTAAATAAAGTAGTGCTCTCAGCGTTAATCTCGTTAAAATGGCGTTAACGCCTTAACCGCATTAACGCGGCAAATCTCTGTTAGCAAGTTAGCTAGGATTGCACCGTGTGTGGGGCTTCACGGCGTCAACGCGTTAGCTCGTTAGTGTGGTTAGCTCGTTAACACGTTAGCGCCGTGCAGCCCCAAGCACGGAGGGATCCGCACTAACTCGCTAACGCCATAACTGCGTTAATGTGGTTATGGCGTTGACGTCATTTTAACAAGATTAACGCTGACAGCGCTAAAATAAAGTCTCAGCTCTCGTTCTGAAGTACATCAAAGATGCCTGTTATTCTCATGGCGTGGTCATGTTCAATGAAAATTCTTTGTGTTTTGGCAACAAGCCTTCATCAGGAAATAGTACCTCTTTGCTACTTCCACTAATAAGAGTCTTTGTTTACTAAAACAATAGCAAAGTTCCATTGCAAAGCACATTGCTGCCCGGGCGCTGCACCGGGTGAATGGGTTAAATGCAGAGGAGTAATTTCCCTATGGGGACTAACATATACACACAACCTGGTGTGAAGGATTTTCCACCAATAGGAATCTTGGAACCTGGATGAGGCGTACAAAAGGATGTCCACATAAAAAGACATCTTTGGATCAAAAAGGACAATCTAAGGGTCATCAACCTGGACATCCAGAACCCATCCAAATTTCAGGTTTTGGAACGGACCACTTCGTTCTTTACATACAAAGAAGCAACAAATAAAGACGTACACAAACACAAGCTTCGATTAATAAATTACAGACCAGCAAACACCTCGGCCTAAATGAGGGCTTTCTGTAGATGTGAGTGCTTTTTGTTGATTCCTATTGCTAGAAGATTCCTGTTGGTCGCACATGACTAGAGAAAAGCGACCGTTTCCATCCCTCTTTCTAATTTTCCCAGATTGCACATCATCGACTGCTCTCCCCACGTCCCTCCCACCAGCGATTCAAGCGGGGGAGGCGATGAATGGAAACGACAACAACTACATCCCATCTACTGCCGAATTTATGACCTCAGATGTAACTGTGCTCGTGACATGTTTTATATTTAGGGCATTGCATCATGTTGTGAATTAAATTCATAA